AATAGCTTAACCTATCGAACTACACTGTTACAGATGCTAAACTGTTTCAGTGTTCAATTATACTTCTCTATTTGCTAGTAGGAAGCTTAAATATGAATTTGTGCTTCATCTATGTTTTTAATTACCATCTAGTTGGTCAGACTCATACTGACCCTGTAAAAGGTTCCCGAAGAGTGAGTGGCTGGGCGGCTTGAACTTCTGACCCTGTGGTTCAACAGTCCAGTGCTTATTCAATAGTGCCACACCAGAATTCCACCTATAGCAAAGATCATTTCTTATGATGTATATTTTTATATCAGACCAATTCCTGGATGTATTTTATGTCTCCATTCTTGTTTTAACCTTTTAATTTACTTCTTACGTATTCTAAGTTTGTGATCTTAACAGATTTTGCATATTTCATGATGGTGGCGGTGGAGTCGGTTTTGATTCACAGTGACCCTGCATAGGGTTTCTGAGGCTGTAAATCTTTCTGGGAGTGGAAAGCCTCATCTTTTTCCTGTGGAACAGCTGGTAGATTCCAACTGCTGTCGTTGAGTGCTAGTTAGCAGCCCAACTCGTAACCACTATGCTACCAGAGCTACTTGCATATTTCGTTAAGACCTCAAATCCTTCTTTGAATGAGGCAAGAAATAAAACTGAATTCGACATTTATTTTTCTAAATTTTCTTTGTTGTTGAGAATATACACAGCACAACATGTTCCAATTCAAGTTTCTACATTTAGTGACATTGATTACATTATTTACACCATCCCTTTCTGAGATGGGTCCTTCCTTATTAACATAAACTCACTGCACACCTAAGGTCCCAATCTAATCTTTTCAGTTATTGTTGTCAATTTAATCCATACAGATAGTTCTTAAAATAGCATAAAGCTCATGGCAGAACTTTCTTTAAAACTAGTTAAGCTAAACTATTGTTTGGTTTCAAGATTTCAGGGGACATTTTTCATTTAAAGTTTAGATTATCTTCGGTGTTGTCATCCACCCCTATGGCTCCAGAAAGTCTGGAGTCCATGAATTTTTGAAATTCTCTTCTGAATTTCCTCCCTTTTGATCAGGATTATTCTATGGAGGCTTTGACCAAAATGTTCAGTAATCCTGTACATCCAGTTCTTCTGGACTCCTGTTAAAGGAAGCAGTTGTTTCTAGCGGCAATTCGTCACATATTTCTTATCTTCCTCCTATTCCTGACTCTCCGTCTTCTGCTGCTCCAGGTAAAAGAGAAAACTGTTGTGCTTGGATGGCCACTTTAATACCCATACACTATGCAACGAACTAGTAGGTAAAACTGGCCAGAAGTACCAAACATGGCCATAGGCCAATTAACTCGAGTGTGTTATGACCCTAAACCTTCAAACTAAGGCATCAAATCCCATATAAAGTGTTTGACGTACAGAAGCAGCCTCAGCAGTCACTCTGATTTGTTGCTGTTGTTGGTGTAAATACGTCTATCACACAACTTTTGTCCAGTCAACTTTACATCACTGCACAATTTACTGACAAGAATTATAACTGGCTGTGCAACCTGTAAAACATGGTGTGGGAACTGTCTGACCTACTGTGACTTCACCAAGGGGAAAGAAAATCAAACTCAATGTCCGCCCAAGGCTGATTCCGATGAAGTGGAGATCGGACATGCCTCCACCCTACAACTTTCTCTACAAATTCTGACATCAACTGTCCTTCTGCTTCTCTGCTTCTTTGCTGTGTTTCATAATCCGCTGCAATGGCCACACAGAACTCACAGATAATATTCATGATTATGGGCCTAATTAGGGAAGCTTACAGATTACAACTCAGGATCAGAAATGCTTTGGATACAGTTCTTCCAGTCTGGCATGGCTCTCTTTGGTCACTGGCCTCTCCATCACAAGGCACCTTAGTCTCAGCCCTGTTCAGGCAATGTTACAGAGTGCCAAGGGATCTGCACTCTACTCTATGTCTCAGCCAGAAGGCATTCTGCTTTACTCACTGCATGGGCTGGGAAGCACATGACTTTGTCTCTTGGTTCTGGTTTTACTGCCGCTACTCCTCTGCTGTTCCTCCAGTATCACAGTTCCTACCTGGATGGAGGAGGTTCAGTGCGTAGGGATCTCATAATCCAAAGGATGCTCTCCACTCCTGGCTCTTCTTTCTTGAAGGTCTTGAGATTCCCCTCTTCCTGCTTCTGAGATAGCTCATTTTATACCCAGCAGGATTGCAAAACTGACCAATCCTCATGTTTGAGTTCCAAAGATTTTACAATCATAAGTAACCCTGTTAACAATCATTCACATCTGAATCATATAATCCTATCAACATCTTCCCCCAACTTCTCTTACCCAGACCCATCAGGAAAAGAAGAATTACACCCAAATTCATAGCCGCACCCAGTCACTTCATGAGAATTACAGACTATGGCTAGAAGAGCCGTATTAAATAATTCACTGCATGCATAACTCTATCTTTAATCAATTCCATTTTCCATCACCGTTAACCTCCCCTTCGTCCCCATTCCTCCTACTCCTTGCAACCACTAGTAAAGGTCTCTGTGCATTTGTCTTATTTAAGTGAGGTCAAACAATATTTACCCTTCTATGATTGATTTGTTTCACTTGGTATATAACGTCTTTAAGTTCCATCCATACTGTAATATGTAGCATGCATTAAGAGTTCAATTCTCCTAATGGCTGAGTCCATTATATGTATGTACCACATTTTGCTTATCCATGTATCTGCTGGTGGTCACTGTTTCTACCTTTTAGCTATTATGAATAGTGAGTGACAATAAATATTGGTGGACAAGTCTCAGCTTTCAAGTCTTTGGACTATACACCTACAAGTAGAACAGCTAGGTCATATAGTAGTTCTGGTGTAGCACCGGAGTCCTGGTATAGCACTGCAGGTTAATGTGCTGAGACTGCAAGGTGGGTGGTTCAAGTTTACCAGCTGCTCCTAGGAAACCCTATACAGGGTCGCTATGAGTCAGAACCAAGTCGACGGCAGTTAAACACAACAACAACATAGTAATTCTAGTTTTAATATTTTGAGGTTTTGAGGAACTGCCACATCGTTTTTCACATTTTGCATCTCCACCACCAAAGGATAAAAGTTTCTATTTCCTTATATATTTGCCAACATTTATTATTTTCTATTTTGCTTTGCATCTCTCTGATGGCTAATGATGATCCATCTTTTCATGCATTTGGTGGCCATTTGAATAATCTCTTTGATGAAAATGTCTATTCAAGTCCTATGTCCTTTACATGATTGGGTTATTTGTCTTTTTATTAGGTTGTTGAAGTTTTATATTTATGTATTTTACTTATTAGGTTCTTGTTGGCCATATGGTTTCCAAGGATATTTTCCGAGCTCGTAGCTTGTCTTTTTAATTTTTTTTGGTATAATATTTTGTTGAGTAAGTTTTTAATTTTTATGAGGTCCAATTTCTTTATTTAGCTGTGTGTGCTTCTATTATATTAGGTAGTCCATTGTTGAAAGGTAAGACTGACAGCAACACTCCTGTATTTTCTTCTAAGAATTTTATGTACAAACTATATATAAAGTTTGTACATTTAGGTCCTTACTCTATTTTGAATTTGTTTTTGTGTATGGTATGAGGTAGGGTCCTGTTTCATTTTTCTACATGTGGATATCCACTATTACTAGCATCATTTATTGAGGAAACTCTGCTTTCCCCATAGATGACCTTAGCACCTTTGTCAAAAATCAGTTGACCACAGATGTGAGTTTTTCATCTGTACTTTTAATTCTATTTAATGGGTCTATGTGTCTATTGTTACACCAGTACTAAGGTATTCAAATTAGTGTAGCTATATTGCTGTTGTTGAGTGTCATCACATCAGTTCTAACTCATAGCAACCCTGTTTGGGTTTTCTGAGGAACAGCTGGTAAATTTGAACTGCCAAGTTTGTATTTCAAACCGACCTGTACAGTGTTTTAAAATCAGAAAGTGTGAGTCCTCCTTTGTTCTCTTTTAGCATTGTTTTAGCTATTAGGGTCTTCTGTCTTTTCATATAAAGTTGAGGATTACTTTTTCTACTTACGTTGTTGTTGTTAAGTGAAATCAAGTCGGTTAGGATTCATTGGTACCCTGTATAGGGTTTCCAAAGAGCAGTTGGTAAACTTGAATTGCCGATCTTGCATTTCAAACTGACCTTGCAGCCCACAGCATTACCCATCGCCCACAAAGATAATTTTACTTATTTTCTAATCTGGATACTTTCTTCCCATCTTACTGCTCAAATATTAAACATAATTTTTGCATTTCCACAACACAAGGATTTTACTTCTTCAGTAATCTACTTGTTTCATTCTGCTTTGTATTATGGTTCACTGTTTACATCATGAGCTCCTAAAAGACAGATTGATTATCAGGAAATTTATAACACCGATGCGCTGCTTTCAAAGTGCCTTCATGTCTATTATTTCACAATAACCTTATAATATTAGTATGACTACTTACTAATCTTTTGATAAGAAAGTGAGGCTCAGGGAAATGAACCAATATTCATTCAAGGGACAGAACAAAAAATCAAGTTCTAACACCAAGTACTGAGCTCTTTCTTTTGACCTAACTGCTTCCTGTATGTACCATTCATTCAGGCTTCTGAGTCTCATTAACCAGGAAAATGAGGACTTGGCAGAATCTTAGCATGTGGAGTTGTTGAAAGGCATCTTAATGGTCATCAACACCCTTCCAATACATGCATCCCTTTGACTTACAAGTAAGTGTTCAGTCTCTACTTGGACACCTCCAGAGCTAAAGGAGTTCAGTATCTGCTAAATTAAGTCTGACTCTTAAAAATAAGGAGATTCTGCCTCCTCATAAGTCCTACCTATTGGTCTTGGTTCTCAGGCACACAAAAAATAAATTCAATTGCCCCCAAATCAGCAGATAGCTCTCATGCCTGCCACCCCCACTTGAATCTTCCCTTCTTAAGCATTGCACATGTGATGGAGGGGTAAGTGGGGCCCCAACAACAGGGGTACTTACACAGACACAGGTATTATACAGGATGCTCAAGCAGTCCTTGGACATTTCATCACTTACTGAAATCGAATGAGGAATAATAGGTTATTTTTTTCATTAAAAAGATTGTGTAACAATGTTAAAATCTTTGAACATAGGAACTGCTACTCACAATTCCCTCAAGGATGATTATTTTCTTTTGGCAAACCTCCTTCCAGACCTTGTCTACCAAAGATTTTCACAGTGCCCATCAGAACCTACAAACCAATTTGTATACTGCTTTTTGGTTTGACATAATAGCCATTTACCTATTATGCCTTCCAGAGTCCTCATAATTTTACATTGCTGTGGTTCCATCATTTAATGAATGATGGCTTTCTTTGTGGCTTGCTTAGGCGATACATCTGTTTGTTAGCTATTTCAATAGACTACAAATAAAACCATGTAATATATCTCAGTAGCCTTATTACACTTCTTTTGAATTGGTTCCTCAAGATAACATTTCTAAAAATTGAACTACTGAAAACCAAAACATAAGCTTGGTCATTAATTATAAATTTCCATAGAAAGTTCTACTAACAACAAGCAAGGATATCATTTTCCCAAAACTCATCAAATATGAGCTTCTGTTTTGTTTTTATTACTTAATATTAGGCAATTGGCTTTTAATGCCTAGCCTACGAATTCCAAAAAGGAATTAGTTACCTCTTGAGCAGGAATAGGAAAGGAGCACAAAAGGAAACTTAGTTTTTATAAGCTCCAAACCTGAAGATAGTAAAACTTGAGTATGAATCATAGAGCAAATGTTTGATTTTACTTCTTTTGTTTTTAAAACTTGTGCTCATCCATAAACTCTAAAATACTAGGTTTCCCTTTGAGATCTCAATGGGCAGGCTCGCCAAACTAGCTTGAGAAATTGCAGATGCCCAATATCCCTCATCATTAATATATATCCTATTGTTTGTTTTTTGCTTTATCTTTAATGACTTCTGAGCAGGACTGACCATCAGAACAGTATATCTCAGTATTTCCAGACATTCTAGAGACAAAAGAAGTTGGGATTCATTCATTCATCAAACACTTATTTAGCACCTACTCTCAATCAAATACAGAATGGTAAGCAAAAAAAAAAATTAATAATAATGACATATTCTTGGCCCTAATGGAGCTTACAAGTCTAGTGAGAAAACAAGAGTAAGTACATAGATATATATACCAACAAGTAATCACAAGATGTCATGTGCTATGAGGGGAGAAAAAACACACACAATCTTGGTCTTTATGGAGTTTATAAGTCAAGCGAGAAAAGAAAATAAATAAGTATACCAAATAAACGTAAGATGCTACTTGCTACAAAGAAAATAAGAACATGAAAAACCTATTCAGATAGAGTAGAAAGGTTGAGGCATCAAAGATGAATGAGTCTCTTAACTACAGATGTACATACAAATGTGGTCTTATACCTATAGCATGTTCTATTGGTGTTAGGAAGGAACTCTGGTAGCATAGTGGTTACGAGTTGGGCTGCTAACCTCAAAATGACCAGTTTGAAACTACCAGCTGAAAGATGAGGTTTTCTGCTCCCGTAAAGATTTACAGCCTTGGAAATCCTAAAGACAGTTACTATGAGTTGGAACTGACTCCATGGCACACCACCACCATTGGTATCAGAAAAATACATGTATTTTCCTAATGATGTTTGTAGACGGGTATTTATCAAATATTAACTGAAATGCTCTCTTCCTTTTAATGCCAGAGTAAAGTGCATTTAGTCTTTTTTAAGCACTGAATATGTGAAAAGAATTTTTGTATAACATACTTAACATGTGTTAAGTTATAAAGAACAGAATACCATATACTTATCACCAAGCTTAAGATATAATACACTACCAAAAGACTTTACTTTTTACCATATAAACTCTGATAACAACTGAACGTTTTACAAGATTAATAATTATAGATAATACATATTATCTATCTTTAGAACCAAAAACTGTTGTTAGCAGTCTTTGAGCCAATTCCAACTCACAGTGAGCCCATATGCAGAACAGAAGAGCTTCATAGGATTTTCAAGGCTGTGACATTTTGGAAGCAGATCGCCT